AAGATTCCATAAAAAGAGAAACTGCCTAAAATGTCATCAAATTAGCAACTTCTCCCCACAGCTAGATCACTAAGTGAAAGTCACTCAGTCGTGTCCGACTCTGTGACCCCACAGACTATACAGTCCATGGAATTCTCCAGGCCAGAATACTGGAGTGGGTAGCCTGTCCCTTCTCCAGGGGATCCTCCCAACCCAGCGATTGAACCCAGGTCTCCCACATTGCAGGCGGATTCTTTACCAGGTGAGCCACAAGAGAAGCCCTACCCAAATTTGACAGGTTACCGTTCATCCATCTTATCAGATTCCCCACTAAATATCTAAAGAAGCCCTCACACCACTGTTTCACACCACCCTACTCTGTCTCCTTCACTACAGCACCGTCTGAAATCCCCTGGGTCGTTTGCTTGTTTCCTAGCTGTCCGTGAAAATATAAGAGCCACGAGGAAAAACACAATGTGAATGGGGCCCCGAGAGCTGCACAACAGCCGCCATGGCACTACTTTAAACTGCATTTTCATTCCTGTATCCCCAGCACTTCTCAATGCCTGGCACAAGAAAAACATGCACTAAGTACACTGGATGGATGGAAAAAACCCCGACTACTCTACAGTCCCAACTTACTACCTTCCCATATTCTTCAATCCCCACCTCCCTTTCCCTTTCCAATTCCTATTACATATTATACTTCTCTTGTCCTAGACCTTGTCTTTCCTCTATTTCATTTTCAGATTCTTACCTTCCTCCAAACCTTACCTCGTAAACCATTACCTGTGTGTCCTGTCTCTAACAGTCTTCTTCCTTGACCCCTTAGGCTGACTTCACTGCAGGCTTCTCATTATTCAGGTCTCAGCTCAAATGTTCTCTTCAACCATGTGACCCAGTTTGCCCAGAACAGTACTGGTTTACACCTGCTGTCCTAACCTAATTATTAGCAGAGCCTCTTTTTATTCTCAAAACTGTCTCCATTTGAACAATATATTATACTGTCATATCTCAAAATAACCCCTGGGGAAAAAATTCCAGCTGTCAGATTCTCTCACAATAACTGTTTTCTTTTTTATCACCTATAACTTTCAAAGTATCTTAAACAGATGTAAATTTAAAGTCTTCAACTACTTCAGTATAAGCTCCATAAGAACATAAGAACATAGAGCTTATGAATGTTTCCAGCTTATTCACAGTTGGATCCACAGCACCTAGAAGAGTATCCGACAGTCTGTAGGTACCTAGCATCTGGAATCTCCAGATTTAGCAGAGATCCTAAAGGCTCAGATCTTGTCTCTGGCAGTTCCTGCTCCAGGCAACAAACAAGGTTCTAGATACTTCCCTAAATTCAGGGAAGTATAAATTCATTTAAGATTGGGGCATATGGATGACACTTACTTTCATGTAACTGGGTTAAATTGGTATTTCTTTAAATTAAAGTAACTAGTTAATATGTTCGTTACTCGAAAGATAAGCTCTCTGATCTCCCTTCAGTGAATTAACAAAAGTATCATATAGACATTCAAGAAAAACAAAGGAATGCCAATATACAACAGTGATGAAAAAGTCTGTTGCTCATATTTGTGTTAAATGAAGAACAAGAGTGGGAAGGTGGGGGGAGGGGAGAGAGTTCCCTAGTGGTCCAGTGGTTCGAACTCTGTGCTCTCACTGTCAAGGGTGTCCATTGAATGTTTAACCCCTGGTTGGGGAATCAAGATCCCACAAGTCATGTAGGATGGCCAAAAAAAAATAAAGCACAGACTTTTATACAACTAAATTTTCACAATTATCTTGCTGAGTGTGATACTCTAAAAATATTTAAGAGAATGTAAACTCTTAGGCCCAAACTACAGATTAAACATGTCTAGAAGAGAGAAATTAAAGCTATTATTTCAATTTGATGATGACAATCCAATAGCCAAGTTCAAATATTCTTTTTTTTAATTGCAGTATTATTGACCTATAACACTATATTAGCTCCAGTCTGACTCAGAACAATCTCATTTTCACTGAAATATAGTTTGCAACATTCCTTTACCAACCATCTTTATATACATTAATTATGTAAATAGCTAGTGAAAAGATAAGTAATACAGAATGGTAATTAAGAAGGCCTGGACTTGAATTCAGCCTCTATCACTTATAACTATATGACTGTGGATTAAGTCACTTTCTCAAGTTCCTGACCTAAAAAGCTGGGATAATACTGAACTAACCTCAAAGGTACTGAGGCAACTGCCAGCAAAAAAAGCATGAACACTGTATCAGAGTACAGTGCTTAAGCACATAGTAAACATTTAATGGTAATGATATTCAGACAAAATACTGCTTTTTGTTCTAAACTTTTTTTTCTTACCAATTTTGATAATCTTTTAAAATTATCTTCCTAAAAACATTCTTATCTGTCATCTTACAACAATGTTTGTCAAGTTTTAGGCCCATGGGAGTCAGTATGTCTGCAATGAACTCTAGGATTCAATATTCTGAACAATCCCAACAAATTGAGACTCATGAAGCCAACTGACCACACTTGAAGAAACATTGAATTTAAAAAAATTTTTTTACATCAAAAAACTAGTTGCATGCTAAAAAGAAGAAGAAGAAAAAACACTGAATTATAAGTACTCAGCCAGCAATTCAACCTTTTCTGGAAGCCTCAAAGTAACCACTATAAACAACTAATACTGAATCCACCTGTGATGCAATGAAGCACGAGAGGCTACAAAGGTGTGTGGGGATTTGGCACCATGCCACAGACCCCAGTACTGCAGTGTCTGACTCTCATGTCACTGTTATACTTTACCAGCAGCCTCAGCTGTCAATTCTCACTATTGTCACAGTATGCCTATCTCCAGCAGTATTCACCTTTAGACCTTTAAAACTTTCTAGTAGGCTGCAGACTAAAAATAAGTCAAGTTTGTCTGGATAACTACAATAAAATTAATTGGATACTATCTGAAAGGACCAAAGTATATCTGTAAGCAGTGTAGTAAGTTATGTCACACCCATCTGAACATCTCAGAAGTCAGTTCTAAATCCCACCTTTTGACTGTGATCACGTTAGTTAAAACTACCAAATACACAACCTCTAGATAAGAGAAGTGAGTCTTTCTCTCTCTATACATACATGAAGTGAAGTGGAGTGAAGTCACTTAGTCATGTCCGACTCTTTGCAACCCCGTGGACCGTAGCCCACCAGGCTCCTCTGTCCCTGGGATTCTCCAGGCAAGAATATTGGAGTGGGTTGCCATTTACTTCTCCAGGGGATCTTCCCAACCCTGGAAGGGTTGACACTTCAACCTCTGAGCCACCAGGGAAGCCTGTCTATATATATATAGACATACAGAGATGCATGTACATGCTTAAATGTATGCATGAATGTACATGCATGTGTTAGTCCAAAAGGTTCCATTTCCTTGCAAGTTTTTCCAAATTTTCCCTATACATTTTATGTCTAGTCCATTTCAATTTCTATTTTTCAAATTACTAATACTGTGTACAGAGTATTACCTTTCAAAGATTTTATAAAAGTGAAACTAGGATTTTACCATAAGGCTACCCAAATATAAAACATCGTATCTAAACACTTAGGTAGCATTGACACACAAGATTCAAAGCACTCTGTAAACAGAAGAGTCTAAATGGATGAGGAAATTCATGAATTTTCTCAAGGCCACCCAGTTACCCACAAAAACTGCGCTAAGGAAAAACAACTGAGAACCAGTTACTAAAATAATGACTAAAACAATGACTAAAAGTTTTTAAATTTTCTATTATATAAAGAGACATTACCCAAAAAAATATTTCAGTTTGTTCTTTTCTTTAATATTAGCTCCTAAGAAATCATGGACTAGTTCTCATAAAATTCTATCAAAATATAAACAATTTTTTAAAGTCACAGTTATTTCAAATCATCTTTAAAATTCCATTATTCTCTTTTTGAGCACCACAGTGAGTTATAGCTAAGAAAATACTAATTTTCATGTTATCTGGAGTTTCAGATAACTCATAAGTTGAACCAGTAAGTTAAAATTGGTTTATGAAAATATTAGACACTTAATTACATTTTCTGTGAAGAAAAAAACATTTTCTGCTGTCTTTTTGTGTTAAAATTAAAACACCTATATGCCAATGCATTAATCTCTAGTTCTTAAAATTACTGTAAAGACATTCTGTTCTTGCTGCCTAAATCTACTGAACTTCTGTTATTGCAATATCATATGAACTGTTTATCAACTTATATATCAATTTATATTACTTTTTCTTCTTACCTAATTCTGTTTACATAAGAGATGAAAACTTAAAAATCTGCAATGTTAAATTACTTTTGGAAACAAGAGGGAGGGGAGAGCAGAGCAGAGTGAGGGCAGTCACCTTATGACTGACACGCTCCTTAATTTTTAGGAAACAGTTCCATTCCCAAACACTAACTTCTAATGGTCAAATATGATAAGCAATCAAAATCTAATTAAACCTATATCACTGATACAAAATGAATCCTATGCCCACTCAAAACTGGCCACCTTGTCTCAGTATACAAAATAAGCGTGACTGATGACTACTCTTTTAGCCTACTAAGATAGGAAAACCCAAGTTCAACCCTTTAGAAGTGTCTTTTCTATCTAACAGAGTGAGCAATTATGCGGACACCACTGACAGTGACCGTGATAAGGACAGAAGAAAGAAAAAAACATAAAAAGCATAATATGACCATACTGTGGGAAAAATCTAACTTACACCTAAATTATTGTTTCAAAATGTTCTTTCCCAAGAGAATTAAATTCATACATAAATATGTCCATTATAGTCTCACTAGTAACAAAAATTACACCAATCAAAAATAAACTGCATTGTTTCTTTAAAAACTTTACCAGTGATATTAGCTGTAAAGCCTATTTCCAATATTCACTCATACAACATTCACTTCCAATAAACAGCAGGTACCCATTAACGCATGGCACTGGGCTAGAAATTGTTAACAGACATGACAAATTATTTCATACAATTACCCTTACCTTCAGCTGAAATCCAGTTTCATTTACTGTCTCTTTCCAGTTGCCTTCCTAAAAATTAAAGGTAACTTTAGATATCACTGTAAAATAGCCCATAAGTAATATCCCAAATAAAATACCCATCATTCTGTTCTTCCCTCATGGGAGATGGGGGAAGAGGGGTTAAAAAAGAATTCTTTTCACTGCAAAATTACACATACAATCCAGATTCCAAAAGATTACCAGAGACAGCCCCAAGATTTTCTAGATCTGGGATTCAAAACACTAAAGACTAACTTTCATACCATTTAAGTGATACCAAAAAGTACAATCTTTAGTATCTTTAAGTATAAAAATGTTAGCCAGAAGAATGATGTAATACTTTGGAAATTCAAAACAAACCATGAAATACATATAAATTAACAAAGGGCAGCTCCAAGAGAATCCTTAAGAAGAAGCACTCCACAATTTAAAATTTTAAAAATCCCAAGTCAAATGAAATTTTTTAAAAGACTAAATAAAAGAAAAATACCTGTGTTAAAAACAAATAGAAGATTTTGTCTCTACAAAGGATGGGATGTGAAGCAAGTCTCAAGAGGAAATTTTCTAAACCAATTCGTAGTCTTTCCACAAAATCCGGGTCCATGTTGTCAGCAGAGAGTTTATGCCAAACGAATTCTGCCTAGATAAACAAAACAATCATGAAGAATAGTCTCAATGCTAACTACTTCTAAACTACACCACCACTTCACTCCTTACCCTTTTTTCTGGTAGAGGTGGCACAACAATATGTGGATAGTAAACTAAAAGGTAGTTTCTCAACCACTCAAATGCACTACACCGCCTCCACAGTGAGTCTGTTAGGACACTCTGACCATCACTATGTTCAACTGACCTGAAAAAGACAGAATAAGATTTCTAGTGTTTTTTAAAAATACAAATGCATGCATACGACCTCCTTTTAAAACTGGTAACTCCATTTACTGAATGCTTATGAACCAGGAGGGCTATGAACCAGGCACTGAGAACTTTTCATGTATTATTTAATTCCTACAACAAACCTGGTGAAGCAGGGATTACTGTCCCCATTTCACAGATGAGAAAGCAGCTGCATGGTATATGCTCTTCCTTCAATCACAAAGATTTGTGGGTAGAGCACTCAGATCCATCTGATTCCCAAGCCCTCACTCCTAACCACTTTCCTCCATTATAGAAAACCTATTTGAACTTGAGAGAAATAGTCATATTAGGAATATTCTTCTCAACAAAAGCCTCAACATAAGATAATTCAGTTAACATAATGGCTGGCTTTATAATATAGTAAGAGTCTGGCTTCACCAGTGTTTCATTAAAGAAAAAAGTACTTTTAACTCTCACAATGAAAGAACAACTCCTGCCACAATGACAGAACAACATTCATGCCAAAGACCATGACACCAAAAAAATCCTCAATTTAACATCATCAAAAAATCAGATGCATCCAAGTGCCAGAAAAGATCCACAAAAGTAAACTGTCAAAGAGCGGCAAGAAGGGATGTAACAAATTAATTCTAGTCTTATATTTAATATAAAGAGCTGCAGGTAATGCCATGAGTCATCCATATAAAAGTTCAATTTGGGGGAAAGCTGGGTAAAATCATAAAAATAATATTTGAAATTATTTTGACTATTTATCATTTCTGCTAGCATAATGACTATTAGAAAACATCAGCCTTCTAAACATTATTGGAACCTTCCCATTTCCTAATAGAAAATAACTTACAGATCCTCCAAGAAACATGCATATAACCAAAATGTGCATTTGTGCAAGTACAGTATAAAGGCAGAGAGGCTAAATCAGTCTCAGAATAAAGTCTCGAGAAAATGGATACACCACACCATGCTCAACACAAGATGTTCATTGTTTTTATTATTTATATATCGTTTTCTAAATTAATTCACTGTATATTAATTTAAAAGGGAAACAATATGAAATTCAAAATATACAAATGGTTTTCATGGCAAGATACAGGATTATTAAATGATAATTCATTTTAAAGAGTTGACCTAACCATTAGCTGACTAAAACTGTTCTAATTCAGATTTTCGACTTCAGCTAAAAAAACATATCTTGGGTTAATATCAAGTTTCAAATTATTCAAAATTATTACCAACAGAGCCCAAATCTTGCTAAAAAGTAGATAAATATAGCCTATAGGCAGTACACCTAAAGGCTGTTAGAAGAGCTGTTACAAGTTGTTTTTGCTTTGTTTTATTTCAAAGCCCACAAAAAGAAGTCAGCGGAAGCCACCTAAAAGCATAGAGAAGACTTTCTTTGGACCACAAAACTACCCCATTTATCCAATTATTTAATAAATGTTTAACAGCACATAATTGGTTTCACATGCAATATTTAAATTAAATGTAACCGTTTAAACCATTTAATATGACAAAGTATACAGGATCTTTAGCCCTGCTTTACAAATTAGAAGAATTCAGGAAAGACATCATACGGCTTCCCAAGACAAAAGAGGCATCTTACCTGTTAATACACACAGTGTTCTTACCTATTTTAAAAGGGTTCATACTTAATGAACAGCAAAACATAGAAATCCCTGGAGAAATCAAAATCAATGACCTTAGCCTTATTAACCCTTAGCCTATTAAACTGTAACACGATAGGCAACTGCTAAACTGACTTTCTTCATGTGTCCACAGAGTAGGCTGATGAGCTATGTGATAAAGTTGAACTTTTAGTCAATGTCAAGGCTCAACAATATTTATAGTGTCGAAGATACTCTGCATAACACTGAATTACAGCAAGAATTCTACATGACCAAAATAATAAATTCCAGGGTTCTGTGGCTGCTGAAGGTCAGTTACAGTGCTGACAAAATTATTTATAAACTATCTATAAACAGTAATTTTCAAAGTGGATGTGCATATGATATGGGATACGCAAGAATTTAAGACAGGGAAAACACAACTTATAAAGAAAAAAGATAAATTTGACTATCTTAAAATGTAAAGCTTTTGTATTTGAAAGATAAAACTATGGTCCATGGCTTATTTGCTTCAAAAACACCTGGAACTTAAGCTTAAAATGTGTTAATTCCTGGACCCCACTCAAAATTCTGTAGCTTAACAAATTTTTCAGCTGATTCCTATATATTTTAAAGTTTAAGAATCACTGTTTTAAAATAAATGAAATATAAGTGTGACAGTCAACTCAATATTCTTTTGTGTACCACATTATTCACTGATGTTCCTAGATATTTATCCAGAGGCTAGCTATATTACTCATGTATGGTCACTTCTAACTCCAACTTTTGAATTATAATTCTCTATTCATTTCAAAGTCAAGAGTAAACAACTATAATAAATAGAGTAAACAGCTATAAATTATTCCAGATTATTGAAATCAAGAGGTTCTTCTAGCAGTAAAGTTAATCAACAGCTAATTTCATTGTTGAACTGGATGAAGAAACAGGCATATACTAAAAATATCCTTTTTAGTTTTAAATTTAAGAATTTACTTAAAAAGCTAGAGCCAATACAAATTTCTAAAGTATGATATTTTAAAATGGCTAATTAAACTAAAAAAAAAAAAAAAAACCTCTCATGGGACCATACTTTTTAAAAATTGACTTAAAAGTCTCTGATACATATGCATGTATGTACACAGGCAGGATACTTCCCTGATCCACCAGGCAAGTCCCTCTACTTTTCTTTAAAAAATATGGACTATACTTTCTTATTAATTTTTTTAAATATTTTGGCCACACTGCACAGCATGTGGGATCTAATTTCCCCAACCAGGGATCAAACCTGCACACGCTGCACTGGAAGCATGGAGTCTTAATGGACTACCAGGAAAGCCCCCCCTACTTGTTTTAACTGAAAGTATTTCTTCTCAGCTCACACACAGAAAAGAGCTTGTCAGTGTAGTCTTGATATAAACTATTTATAATAAGCAAAATTCCGTGGTAAAGAATCCACCTGACAATGCAGGAAATGTGGGTCCGATCCCTAGGTCAGGAAGAGGCCCTGGAGAAGGAAATGGCAACCCACTCCAGTATTCTTGCCTGGGAATCCCATGGACAGAGAAGCCTGGTGGGTCACAAAGAGTCAGACATGACTGCACACACACACACACACCCTTTGCTTTTCTCTGGACAAAACAGTTTAACTCATTTAACTTTTTGCTTATGAAGTAAAAGACTTTTCTGGTGAGTTTCTGAAGTAAATAACCTTACTTATGGCTGTGCGGAGTCCTCCCTGCTGCGTGGGCTTTCCTCTAGCTGCGGTGCGCAGTGGCTTCTCTTGCCGTGGAGCACAGGCTCTAGGGGGCGGGCCTCAGTAGTTGTGGCGCGTGGCCTCAGAAGTCATGGCTCCCGAGCTCTCGAGCACAGACTCAGTAGTTGTGGCACATGAGCTTAGTTACTCTGAGGCACGTGGGGTCTTCCCAAACAGGGATGAACCCGTGTATCCCGCATGGGCAGGCCTGTGATGTGGATGGGATCTGGATGTTACTTGACACTAAAGCAAGCACCAAGTAACATCCAGTAACCTTCGTTCTCCCTCCAAAACAAATACATTCAAATTTAGCTAGAGTACCAGGGTAAAAGAAAACCCGGTCACCTGTTAAAAAGTAAAGAAACAAAAAGACAATGACTTGTAAATGATTCCACTATACAACAGAATTTGCATCAACAGCTACCAAAGCTTTTTCTAACTTCAGACATAATTCTCATCACTCACCTTGTTTCAATGAGGTAAGCAGTATATGTTTCCTGCATGTTCATGGCATTTCTTCCAGTTCGCTTTTCTGCTTCTGAAACACTAATTTCTATCTTCTTCAACGAAAAATTACTTTCTGTCATCTGAATAAAAATAGAACAACAAAAACTTTTTAAATGATACTGAAAAAAAAACCCAGCTAGTATAATCAAATCCATTATTAGTACATATCTCAGGTTACTTTTTTTTCTATCTCTTGCGTTACTAGTGGCTGCTAAACGACATCAGCAAATGCTATGCCTCTTTTTACCAGCATGTAGCACATTAAACTTTTCCAGAAGCTATTTTAGCAAGTGCCATAGATTTAATTATTAAAATGTAGGCATGATTATAGGAGAAAAAAATTAAAATAAAAAGTATACCTACAGAAAAAGAGACACAGATATACAGAACAGACTTTTAGACTCTGTGGGAGAAGGAGAGGGTGGGATGTTCAGAGAGAACAGCACTGAAACAAGTATACTGTCAAGGGTGAAACAGATCACCAGCCCAGGTTGGATGCATGAGACAAGTGCTCGGGGCTGGTGCACTGGGAAGACCCAGAGGGATGGGATGGAGAGGGAGGCGGGAGGGGGGATTGGGATGAGGAACACATGTAAATCCATGGCTGATTCATGTCAATGTATGGCAAAAACCACTATAATATTGTAAAGTAATTAGCCTCCAACGAATAAAAATAAATGGAAAAAAAAAGCATACCTATCACTTAAATGACCAAGAATAAATCTATATGGAAATGTATAAGAAAAAATTTAAAAACACTGTTTACAAGATGAATGGTCCTCAATACTGATCTTTTTATTTTACCAGTCCAATCAAATATAAAATGCTATATAACAAAAGGTGAGATTTTCAGCTTTCAGCTTTAAAAATTAAAGCTGAATTTTAAATTTTTTTAAAAAGAAGGAGCCATCACATATTTGATCATAAATTTGCCTAAACATTTTGGCAGTGGTTAACAGGCTCCACTGTGAGATGGCAGGTTTTTCTTTTTTATAAATATTATTTTTATTGATTTATTCATTTTTTATTGAAGTATAGTTGATTTACAATGATGTTTTAATTCCAGGTATACAGCAAAGATATTCTTTAATATATATTCTTTTTCATTTTATT